CTCGCCGTAGTGCATAAAGAGACGTGCTGTTGGCAAGTGGAAGGTCAAATTAATTCAAATTTGGCCCCACGCTTCGAATATCTCAATTTGGCTACTCTTTGGAGGAATTTAAGAAGGGTCATACATTTCAAACTTCCCATGTTCGTTTCAATTTTGCCCCCAAAACCCGCGAATTATATCACAAACAGCAGATAATGCATTTGACATGGACGTTCTTTGCAATGGACCTTCAACTGCTTCAGTGGAGTTGGCCTTCAACTTGCTTCCAAAAGTGACCGTCAGATCACACCATCTCCTGGACTGCTGGCAACAAGTTAACCATTGTCAGAGATTTTCGGTTTCAATTTTTTTCACATAAGACGCGACGAGATCACATTGTTTGAGAATCTCGAGCCGCGAGGCCAGTTTCGTTGCAATCTTACAGAGAAGTTACGCAATACGCGTATTGGGCACAAAGTTGGTTGGTATGTTTGGCATCAAGCATTCATGTAGTCTCCGTGAACCAGCGATTCAAAACGCGGTAAAAGTCGGTATACACAACCACCAAGCGTGAAATTCGTTAGAAGAAAGTTTATTTTCGTCCAGACAAAGGTAACCATGACAATGTCTTCAATACTTAATGATTAAAACGGCAAAGGTTAATCTTGTCAAATAGGCGTCGTTTTTTCGGAATTTTCTCGTCTGATGAGAATACAGATGGCGATGCACAAAACGTCCCGCTTCTCAGTTTCTGCATTTCCTGTTCCAATCATATAAGTAATATTTCTCAGCCTTCACACGTGACCTAGTGCATATATAATACATACTCACACGTGTCTGCAACGGGTACTCTGGAAATTTGTGACTTTTATTCTGAGTCATGGAAGGCTATCATGAGTCATGATTGGATGTGTGTTCGCCTGAAGAAAAGTTCGGGCGAGAACGATTCTGCCGAACTGTAATGGTCACCGCTTTCGACTGCTCCAGATATTTGCCTTCGAATTTTTAATATAGGAGACATGAAACGGAGGAAAAGAGATTAAATTTGATAGATTAGGGTAAATTTTACACTCTTGCAACGGAGTAGGGAGAAAGTTACGAAATGCTTAGCAAAAAACGGCGAATTTTTTCCATAAAATTCTTATTACAGGGCCTTTACTACGAAAAAGTGGAAAAATCCAGTTTAGACAAAAATCCTCTCACGTGCTATCACTAGAACATGTCCATGTTTTGTGACTCCGTCCGTCACTCCGTCCGTCACTCCGTCCGTCACTCCGTCCGTCACTCCGTCCGTCACTCCGTCCGTTCGTCCGTTCGTTCGTCCGTCCGTCCGTCCGTCCGTTCGTCCGTTCGTCCGTTCGTCCGTTCGTCCGTTCGTCCGTTCGTCCGATCGTCCGTTCGTCCGATCGTCCGTTCGTCCGATCGTCCGTTCGTCCGATCGTCCGTCCGTATGTCGGTGAACAACGCTAGCGGGTAAACCGTTCAGCAGATTTTCTCCAAAATTGCTATTCCCCAGTTGATCTGACCCCTTGAATTTGAAACCGATATTTTAATTTTGGGGGCTTCTTTACATGAAGCCTCTGGGATATTTTCAAAAATTTCAAACAAAATGGCTTCATCGTTTTTGATTAAATTTTGTCGTTGGATAGTAGAGTGAAGGACGTTTCAGAGTTAAATGCTGCAAGTCTTATTGTGATTGAGAACGTTGACTTGACTGAAAATTGCTAAAATTATTTATCGGCGTCTTCCCACAACTACACTTTTGAAGGGTTGTTTTCTCTTAAATATGATTCTTAAAGATAGATTTTGAATAAGGTCATGTACAATTTTTTGAAAGTTTGAGTACTCTTCGCGTAATATTGCGTGGAATATGGGCGAGAAAGTATGTGCTGTTGTAGCAACACTACTTTTTTACTGAGATGTTTGATTTGACATCAGATACATTGCAATATAAACGTATTTTTCTCTTGCATTTGCCAAGTTACGATCACGTTAGCAACAATACATCTAGCAACAATACATTTCATACACATCTTTCTGAAATGGTCTGTCATAATTTCGGACAAATAAATCAGTCTTTCACTGGAATTTTTATTGTACGAATATTGTTCAAGAAAATATATTGAATTAGAGAATCTCCAATGTTTGTTTATCTTATTGTTAATGTAAAAATGACGTACACGGCTATGTGAATACCGTAAGTACCTAACACTGAGCAAAAGGCTTGTAGTGTAATTAGCCACTTATCCGGTACACGAGATAAGATTGATATTAATGTATGACAGAGTTCCGATAAAAAGCAGATGCGGTTATAGATGATTTGTGACTGTTTCTGGCTCAATGGTTCTCTAATACCGCCATATGTTACTCGGTGGTGAAGGCATTTATCGATATGTTTATGTGAAGAAAGTACAAATAGCCGGCCTGTGTGGCCAAGGTCGCAAAGGCTGAAGGGCCGTAGCTGCCTTGATTCCAAATGTCACGGGTTTGAATAAGGCCTCAGGCATGTATGTTTGTGTTGTTCTTAAGATTTCATCCTACAGTCCCCCGTTGTGAAAATAGTCACAGTGGACGCAAATAAGTTGAAAATAAATCTTAAATAAGAATAAATAATCACTGTAAAATAAAAATTCAATTAAAAACATTTAATACACTTTGAGAGAGATTGAGAGTCTTTATATGTGACACTGACTTACATTGAAAATGTTTATGAAATAAAGTTAATACCGAATCAAACACGAAATGAAATTTTATTTCTTGTTTTGAAGTTAATTATTTTTTAATTGAAGTTTTATTTTCAAAATCCCTATCCTCACGTGAAACTATACGACCTATTTAAAATGGCCTTGAACCCGGTCGAACTCATCGAAGAACACACATATTGAAAAAAACAAACAACGATTGTTTACGATTTAGGTCCTAATGTTCTTCATATAGACAGATGATTTTTGAAATCAACACTTATTAACTCTCAGAACTATTACCCTCATTGAACTATTACCTCCCTCAAAATTACTATATGAACTTTTTGAATCAGCACTTTCTCTATTATTCTTCTTCTTCACGATATAACTTTCTTTTTTTTATTTGAAGCTTTACACGAGACTATGTTAATATTGAATGAGCGGAACGACACAGACAGGACTGGGAACTTCGACTCAAACGCAGAACGTACCAAATTCGAGTATAATTTTTTTAAAATAAACTCAGTGACGATGAAGACGCTAGTCATTTCAAGACGCTAGTCTTACAAGGACAGTAAAAGAAAGATATGATATAAAAGAAATATAAGATGAGCGGTGGGTTCGGATTTTATGGTTATTAGCAGGTATAATTTGAAAAGCGCGGCTTCTGGATTCCCGTAAGTTGGCGTTTTGGCACAAAAAGAACATTATTTCTAAAAGTGTTTGAATTTGTCTTCAAACTTTTAGGCATTCTCAACGAAGCCAAACTACATCTGCTTAGCCTTTTCATTATATCTAATTATTTAGAAAAAGTATGTATACAATAATAATAAAAATGGGGATATAAAATATTTAACATTTAAAAAATTAATATCTACAACGAAAATGAAACGTGTCTTAAAAATCATATGGTACAACATTTAAAATATAGGCAAGAAACTACGGAAGAAAATCAATCCTCTTGTGTATATAGTTTGAAAAAACTGATCCTAGACTTTAACATTGATAGTATAGGGCTTTCTAGGTCCCATTATAAATATTTTTACTTTTTTATTAGAAGACAAGCCTGAAGATAGATTTAGTTTCAAATTATTCCAAAAATAGATAGGAAATTTGCCTTTTCTGTGATAATAATGGCCTTGAGCAATAACAAACTTATTTGTATCCACATCAAGGTTAGTAAAGACTAGGAGAGTTAAAGTGGAGTTGAAAACATGATTGACTTCAATATTGGATAATATAAATTAATGGGAAACAGCATGTTGAGTTAGTTCATTTATAAGAAGAAAAGGCGGTGAGATAATGGGGTTTTGAATTAATGATTGTATCTGGTGATGAGTTACCTCGGTGCAGATTATGTGCATCAACAATTACATTTGAGGACGAAGGGAAAAGGCGCTGGAAGGAAATAAATAAACAATTCTGACTTATTGAAGAAAAATATCTTTAAACAATCTTTGTAATTTAAACATCCAAACCTGAACGTAGAAAGCAATCCACTCTTCAGTAAACACAATTACAAAAGCAAGATAATTTCGGTATAAAATGTTTAATGTTTCTCGCAAATAACAATATAAATCTAACCAACGTATTATTATTTTAATTAATAATTTTATTGCAGTAGTAGAGGCATAGAGTATCTAGCCCGCGACTTTGACATGCACACTCTAAATATTTACATCCAGAGCAAAGTTCTAAAGGATTGTTTTTTCCTTCGGAGTTCAACAAAATTTACAGAGGGGAATATTTGGTGATCGTAAATAGTTTTTCAAGTTTCTTCTTGTCCTTTCCTTCTGATGCGGCATCGGAGTCCTACACTGTCGGTACAACCGGGAAAGCTTCAGGGCACTGACATCAGTGGATAGTAATCGAGCACTAATTTCAAGTAACGTGTAGCCTATAGGAACATTATGTAATATGACACTTGCAGTTAAAAATCACGAAAAGTTCGATATTGTAAATTTTTACTGTTACAAGTTAACTAACGTTGTGTAATCATCAGAAGTAGAAGTTTCACGTATTTGAGAGTTCTTTAAATGCGTCATAAAGTTATTACCAATATTCTTTTGGGTATCATTGAGGATTTCCTTATAACGGTCAACTTCATGCACAAAAATTAGTGGACGATTTATCTGATTTTTAACAGTGGGGAGGTCATCTTCATTCATTGATTCGGTATTACCGAATTCCGCTAGCGAGCGGCAGCTTTTGGAAGTACTTACTTGTTCATGTTGATGTAAGGCATTGGCGTTGAAAATGTGTTGTGTAACTATCACCTTCAACTAGGCCGTTCACTCGCTTTCATGAATCACGGCGTCACTCATTCTGATGAATTACCGTGCACCTTGTTAGAAGTAGATGAATAACCCGTAGAGCCGGGATGACTTTCTTCTCCCATGTTAATAATCTTGAACACGAGGCCAGAGGAGCACGTAGCCTGCACTGCAATGCAGCTCACAGAACGACGCGGTTCACTAAACGCACTACAGAAAACTGAGTCGTTTCCAACCTTCAGCGCAGTGACCCTAGAGAGCGCCGCTGGTCCGTACTCTACAGCAGTTCGCGATAGAATAAATGTCTAAAATATAACTACTCACTGATTCAAGTACATTCCTTCGCCCTAAGGAGGAACATAATTTGCAAAGAAACAAACACTACTAATTCAATGAACTAACGTTTGGAATTTCGCCAACAATTTTAAGAAAGTAAGATCATGAAAAATCGGCTGATTTTAACTCCGAACCAAAATTGTCGCTGTCATTGCAGCAACTCTGCGAGGTCGAGGACGGAGTGAATGAATGAGTGTTACTTAAGTACGGCAAATATTCAATTATCTACACAAAAACATAGGTGACCAATTAAAAAAAATTAATTTGAATATTTCCATGTGTAGGATCATAATAACTATTTTTAATGTCTTCATATTTCACTATGAATTCGTTGCACTGCAAGATTTTTTTATTATGCCTATTTTCATTTGATCTTTGCATTTTCTCTATGTTCACTTTTCTTTTTCCGTACAGTCATTCGCTGATAGCAGACGCTAATATCTACGGATTGCGAATATTTTGTATCACACTTGATTTTCTATAATTTTGACTGGTATGATCGGGTGGGTTTCCCGATTACGAAGACGAACCTTTTGAACCCTTCAAAGTATCGCCAGCATGCCCAGCCGTTCGGCCATTATATCTTTATCCTTCGTTCTGTCGGTAACTTTTTCTTCGCAGAATATATCATAATACTACAATATACCAGTCCCATATAAACTCTTTCCGTTTTCATATCTTGGTAAAGGATAGACATTTCTTGATAACATATTTTTTCATTGGCTAAAACACGTCATTATTATTTTTGTTTATATCAATATTATTTATGATACCCAATTATCAAGATATTAGTCTAACCACATTTAGAGTACTTTTTCTGGTTCATTGTTAATGAACGTTTAATTTTAATATGGGAGAGAATTATGCCCAAACCGATATTTTTAATAACAGTTGCTTAAAGTATACATACACGTAGTTCTGAAAACTCAAATTCCTCTATCTTTCTACTAATATCTTTTACTTTGAATTACCTTTTATTAAAAAACATGAATGATAAACAGATGTTTCAAATTATAGCGACATTCATTTTAGGCTTAAGATATGAGGAAAATAGCACCTTCAAAACAAGGTCATGTACTGGTTTACTGTGATTATAGAAATGTTTTTAAATATATTTTTATTCCTTAATGAGACAGAAAAATTGAAAATAAATGTTTTAAGGTATATTAGACATGTCATAGATATTGTACGTAAAATGCAATGTACTTGTTTTGTGTCCTAGCAATATCATTCCCAATAAATCTATTTCGCACAAAGTTCTACTTTTTGTGAGCTAAAACGTGTCAATACGACACTATGGAATATTTTGCATTCACATTTGGCGAGCAATGGTAAGCAGTTCAAAACAGTTCATTATTGGCAGGATAACAATAAACATAAGTCTATCATGTATCTGTGTGCGTCACTGTCCAGAGTATTTAAAATATTTAATTTGTGATATAAAAAGTTAAGTGAAATAATGAAAATATTATTAAGCTCTGAATGGAGTGATGTGGAAAACAATTGAAGATTAAAAAGAAACAAAGTGAAAAACCCAATTTTTCAGGAGAGTGATAAAACGTTCCATGACGAAATTGGAAGAAATTTGAAGAATGAAAATAGTTGTGTACGTTCTTAAGCTATTGTAAAGACTGTAGTAGAAAGCTTGACTGTAGTTCAATATTGATCTGTATTGTCGAAATTATTGAATAAAGTGGGACGTGTAGAGATTGTGGTATTTTCTCAAAAAATTGAGAAAGGGTATCCCCCGATAAGATGGCAAAATATTTCCCTAAACCAAATGATATTTGAGTAGTTACACTATAACTCTGACGTAAAAATAATATTTGTGAAAGGTTTCCTAGCCTCTGTCCCATTACCCTCACCCAGCTACAGCCATAAACGAGACTTTTTTAATTTTAAGTTTTTTGTCAACTTAACATTAATTTATCTGATTGAAAAATATGAAAAGTAAAAACATTATTCAAAAGAAAAACATTTTAAAAATATTTTCTCAATGCCAAATTAAAACACAAAAAATGCACTACTGATGGGCTGCAGTTAAAAAATAAAAAAAAAAACTATTTTTACCATTTTCCCGCTTTTAAACCACCTTGATTTTAAATATACATTGAAAATGTTTTTAAAATGTGAAATAATAACAAGTCATTTGAAAATGTGCACGGTAACAAAAGAATAATGAATGACGAAACGTGTTGTGATACAGACATAACGTGTTGTGATACAGACTTCTTTACTCAAATCTGTTTCCTACATTTCCAATAAGCCTTAACTTTTCAGCAAATATAAAATATAATTTTTACATTGCAAGTTGCATTATTTATATTTCCTTAAAATGAATAAAGCGTATCAACGAGATGAATATTTTGCGTTTATGAAGGAAATAATCGTGCATAATGGGAAACTGAAATAAACAACTTAAACCAAAATGAACAAAATGTTTTATTCAGTATTTACACAAAAGAACACAGACTAATAATAAATATTGAATATAAATGTTATTAAAAGGGCAAATCTAAACATCTAAAACATCAGAATAAGTCACAGATCTATGTTAACGGGACTTTGCATTGTTGATATCAGTCTCTGTGTTTTGTAGCCTCTGGGTCATGACTGAATGCCAGGACGGTGCTTCTGCATCGCTCCTGCACTTAGGTTGCTAATCCGAGACTCGTCCCGGATTCGCTACACAGACTTTATATTCTTACAATAGTCTTCTCTGATTCACTGCCGTCCTTGTCAATGATTAGGTTCCCGTCAATGTTTTTCGACGCTGCCGACGCTTAATATTATTACTAGATTAAGTAACTTCTTTATGTAGTTCTACTTCTGTTTTAATTGTGACTAAAATACACTATTTGTGGCGCAATATGTTTCTATAGAAAATATTGTCAGACACTATTTGATACGATGTATAGTTCTATTGATGATATGAGAGAAAATACTGATCTGTGTGGTTTGTTGCAGAGGTCGACTTGAGCGAAATACATATTGTTCTATTCGGATGAATTTTAAAAGCATTGAAATGAACTAAAATGGATGACAATGATTCCAATAAACTGGAAATACACTGGAGAACTTCAAGTAGACGTGTAGTTGTGGAGTAACAGCATTTGTAGGTATAAAGGCATTCTTACCAAAGGAGTTTTCACAGGATTAATTATCCTTTCGAAGTTCTTAAAGTAGTTATCGGTTCTCTGATTAGAGCTGTATTAGTTAAGCCATTGAAAAGGTACGTAACAGAAACACGTATCTTTAACATTACTTATATACTTTTCATGGCTTTATTGAAATACAATTTTTTAATGTGTCAGTTATGCATTTTTAAATAATTAAGCATTTGGCAATTATGTTGAATAAAAAATTGTATTGCATGAAAATAATTTTTCCGAGGTACTTCTGTTATTTCGATTTTTTGAAGGAATTTGACTTCACATCAAAAACACTTTACAATATAATTTATTTGAAAATTATATTTTCTTAGCAAACGAGTATATCCTACAGAACAGAAAATTCTCCTAGAGAATAAGTACACATTCTGATTCCTGTCACTTTTATAATCAAATAGATCGGGAGTGTTCTTTTTCTCACACTTAGTGATATCTAACAAGCTTTTTTCATGATTACTTTGAAATGTTGGTTAAGTTGCCTGAGTTAAATATTTTAAAATTACTAAAATTTGATTCCTGCGCTTCTTAACCAATAAAGAGTAATTCACTTGAACAATAATCTATGGCATTTATTTTAAAAATGTATCGATTTCAATCGACATTAATCAATTCTCTCTACAATTACGATGACCTATTGATGGGTCAAACAAGCAGGTTAAACAATCAAATAAGAATACTTTTTGTACTGTCCTCTGACAGAATTCACCGAAATAATTAGTAACAGGATCTATTTCCTAAAAACATCAGGTTTGTAAGGACTAATGTTTTTATTTACGTAGAATTCTTGTATTCCTTCAATATTCCCGTTAAATATCTTCAAGGATATGAACTCAAAAATTCACTGCTTCTACGCGTGTCGGAAATTTATTAATAATATCATCACATCTCGTGGCAATTCTTATTTTATTGTAGTTATGACTTGTGTATGAATTTTTACTAAAACATAAATCACATGCTCTCATACGAATGAAGAAGAAAAGTTCAAGAACGCATAAAATGTCAATTCAAATGTTGAAATCTAAAATAAATCGTTGATTTACTTTACGCTATTTCAAAAATAATGTACATTTATAAATTTCTTAAATTTAGAAGAGAATTACAACTTTAACCAAGCGGGTTCGTAAATTAGTGCATTTTCCATCCTCAAAACATTGGAATAAATCAATATATTTAAAAAAAATGTAATTAACATCGCAATCCAAAGCTAATAAAACTATGTTTCTTGCAACTAATAGGAGTCCCCAAATGTAACAGACTTTTATTACAACGTTGTAATTGGAGATTTTCTTTTCTCGATTAGGTGGCGTAGTATATATGATAGCTGAGTGGTTATTGTCTACCGAAGAAGAATGTTTCTTACAAGCATATTGAACTGAATACTATGAAAACAATTCGACCACAAGACGCCAGTGATCACAAATTAAAGCAGGAAATGTTTGAGAAAGCGATATTTTTCGTCTCATTAGAATTAATTGTAATTAAGAATGCATTTTCTCAGGCGATGATTACGTTCTTCCACAAGAAACAGACTTTGGCTTGGCTGCACGAGCAAGGAAAATGTCAACGCAACCACATTCTGCACTTCATACGAAACTGAAATTGAAAACTGCCAACAGCTTGTCATGTGGTAAAATGGCGTGTAACACGACAACGCATACCCTCGTATTGCACGGATGTGCCGTGGCATTTCCATTGAGAAATATTCTTAGTCGATGGCACATATTCTTATGTAGCGCTGGAACTCTTGCATGAACAGACAATATGACCACGTGATGACGTTACATCACGTGTGTACTACTATTACCTACGTACCGTTTCTCAGAACAAATATTATAAACTTCTAGATGCAGAGGGATCGAATATGCTTTCGCCGATGAACTTCAAATGGGAAGATTGTAATGAAGTTGCACATATGAAATATTGCCCTGATTGGTCGGTCACCAAATCTCTCGGACAGCTTCAGAGGGCGTACTTGCCAATCACCAGAGCACGATGAGTTTACGATCAGATCATGGGCAAATGTAAATGAATAACATCTTTATAGAATATTTCCCACCACGCGCTCATCGGCAAAAAGGAAAGCATCTTCGTCTCTCTCACATACTGTATAAGTTAGTAGCATTTATTCCGAAACCTCCTGTATACTCCAATCAGTGTACCGTTACAAGCAAACAAAACTGAGGCTCACATCCTTTTAGACTGGCGTTGTTCGTAGCTCAAGTGCGACATGCAAAACAAAAGGCGGTGGCGGCGGCGGCCGGTGAGTGTCGGTGGTGATGAAGGCTTTGGCTGTTGAGGTGGAGACTGCCCGCTAAGGCAGTGGCAGTGGCAGTGGTCGTGGCGGCGACGGCGACCGGGAGCCAGTCGGAGGGCGCCGCGCGGTGGCAACGGTGGGTGATGGTCCTGGCGTCGGGGCGGCGCCGACGGGCAGCGGACGGGTTGGACGGCACGAGGAGACGACGAGCCGATGCCTGCCACGCGCAAACAACATTCATTATCAACAACTTACTACATATTTTACTACCGACTTTGGGTTGATTGGTTAGTGATTCCCGGCGCGTCAACTACTAAGGTCATTAGTACCGTACGTGTTGGGCATGTTAATCATCCGAAGGGGGCGCTAATCTTCCCCCGCTGGATGGTGGGATCTGGTCCCGACGTACCGTTGACTAACGGGGGTTTGCTCAACCAGGCATCTCCCACTAGAGCAGCACTACCCCAGCCGGGACAAGCTATAAGCTCCCGACCGGTCTGCCAGCATGTGAGTGTTGTGCATGTAAGAGTAAGTGTGAGTAAGGAGTGAGGAGTGAGGATAGGACAAGAAAGAGGAAGGAAACATCACACGCAGTCCGTGGATCGTTTGTTAGGGTACTGCTCCGGCATTTGTTTGGTGTTGATCGGTGAAACCACGGAAAATCAGAGCAGCCGTCCGTTAGAATTCTCCTCTGCATAGCGACTGAATTCGGCCAGACGAGCTGTCGAAAATCCTACCACCGTTCTAATCCGATGAAATGTCGAAATCCTGCCACCGTCGGTACACGAACCCTGGGACCTCCAGGACAGAGGTAGGTCAGTGACATTAGATGATGCCTGAACTACCTCTCTGGGTACAAACTTAGGTGTCTCAGGGCATCAACTGCTGTCAGTGCGGGTGCCCGGACGGGAGGTCCTAGGGTTCGTTTGAAAAGAATGGCAGGATTTTCGACAATAGGTTACATTACTAGGTCGAATTTATCTTCTGCCTGGAGGAGTATTCTAGCGGCCGGCTGCTCTGATGGGCAGTTTTCTGGGTTTTTTTCCGATCAGAACCAGGCGAAAGCCGGAGCAGTATCCTAACAAGCGAGCTACTGATTGCGCGCGATCTGTCTCTTTCTTGTCCAACCTCACCCCTTACATACCCACATACACTAACAGGCACTACACTACCACACGAGCCTGGAGATCGGTCTGGAACTTAGAGATTGTCCCTACTGGAACAGTGCGCCGCTGGGGGGAGATACCTGAAGAGGGAGATACCAGAGACCTTCACAAGCTGACGTGTAGGTCGGTGCCTCATCGCACTATCCTGCGAGGAGGAACACAGACAACTCGAGTCATAAAAGCATTCAGCACATTAACGACACTAATGACCATAGCAGCATTTGACGTGCCCGGAATCACCAATCAATCAACTGGACTGGGGCGCCTTGGGTGGAATGTCCCGACGTAACCCGCCGGCGAAGGGTGTTAGAATTGCGCGGCAATAATGAAAGAAAAAATACAATCTATCATTAACTAACAGTAATGCCATTGCGGCTTGAGAAGCGGCATTTCAGTGTAGTAAGTCATTTATCACTGGTACGATAAGAGTGTTGGTCCCTTTCCTGTAAAGACGGCCTTTGTCAATAATAATTACCAGTATCAATTATTAATTGTCTCAATTAAAATTTCAGGGTCGTTAATGATAATGATTTCTTGTAACTATCATTGAATAAGGCCTTGCTTAACCAAAAGAGGTAAGTACTAACATTTTCAAAACGAAGGTTTTGACATTTAAATCGGATCCAAAATACAGTTGGAAGACAAATGTTCCAAACACTGTCTAAGTAGTTGTATCAATATTATTATTATTATTATTATTATTTACAACTTTATAGTATTTCAGTAATCACATGGGCAATCACTCATCATCATTTTTATGTAAGTTTATTAAAAGTAACTAGCACATTGTGATTAGTTTACTATAATACATTAAGTAACACATTTGGAATAAGATATGTAATAATAAAGATACAGTTCTTATAGAACAAACATATGTTCTAACCATCACATATGTTCTAACCATCGAACTCATATTCACATCAACAGCCCTCTCAATATTAATAACTGTGATAACAGCTGTGTTTCGTCTTAAAGAGGAATGTTGTTTACACCGCAAGTTTTCAAGCTCACTCTCGTCTTTCTCAAGGGCCACGCAACGCCGTGACATGACGTCAGACTAGGCAGCCCACCTTACGCGCTTGCTTGGCAAGATATCGAAAACGTAGGGTTCCCCTCTTCTCCGTGTGAGACGAGGTCGCCCGCGATGTCTATGCCTCGATGAGCTCCAGCGACACTCGCGAGAAAGAGAACACTGCGCATGCGCAGTAGAGCTAACAGCGTGCTATCGCTGTTCAGAAAACATCGGGAAGCATAACGCGATCCAGGAATTGTTACAATTGACTCCAGGTGTCTTACACAGAAGTTTGACAAGAACAACTAAAAGTACGCACATCTCACAGTGTTTTAAGTTACTATATATAATGTAATGTAAATATTTTTCTTCTTATTATTAATTTGCACTCCAGTTTGATTACTATTAAGGTAAACTTCAATCAACTTATACAAAATGTAATAAATATATTACAAATCTTTATTAATTGTATGATTTTTGATCTGTAGTTAAAATCATTTTTAAAGTATTATTTTATATTATGAAGTATTGTTAATTGGCGCTTATGTTAGATTAACGTCATTGATTTGTTACGAGTAAAAATAATGTAAAAGTTTTTCTCTATACTGTTCACGAATATAAATCTTAACATTTTTATTTGAACTAGAGGACTGAAGATGGCTAGAAGTTGACAGCCGTGACTAACTTTTGGGAATTAACAATAGAAAAATATATAAAAAAGCGGAATGTCTTTCATTTAAAAAAGGAACTGTTTTATGACGAATTGTAATTGCCCAGAAATTTGTTTTGTCCCATTTAGTAATTTGTTGTCTCATGTACTACGTGTTGTGACGGAGGACCTTGCGTTCTGCTGAGCCAAGATCAGATGAGCCCGCAAGTATAGTAGTACCTAGTGTATGGTGGAATATGCGTCCCACCGGGTCGTATAGGGTAACCGGCTGTCAGCAGAAAAAAATTCCCTGGAGAAAAAAGTAATTTGCTACACTGATTTTCTTACGCTCTTTCCTACATGAAGTATGAATGTAATTTATCGTAGCGAGGCTGCCTGACAAAAAGCTACGATGTCGATGGTTTTGAGACGGCATTCAATCTAGCCGTCTCCCTTCTCTGTGTGCAGATTCCTCTCTGTTTACTTCTCCCTCTCCTTCCACGTCAAAGCCCCAAGCAACTAACTGTATTAATGGGAGGTGTTCCCATTTTGTTTAGAAATACATTTTTTCTTTTAGTTTTATATTCATCTTACCTTGATTCCCGTCCTTCAAGTAACAACTAATAATGTATTTTTAATAATTGAGTTTGTGCATTTGACATATTTCATTACCGTATGATTCTGCCATTTGTCAATCGCTGCATATCAGACGTTTGACAAACGCTAAGTATGCTTCAGATGTTTGTCAAACACGTTTACGCAGCAGCTGTTTGTCAGTCGCTGTAGCTGAATTTCAATTGTTACATGTGGTGCAGCAGTTTGTCAAATGGTTAATGTGATTTAGCTGTTGTGAAATACTGCATATGCTTCAGCTGTTTGTCAAACTGTGCATATGCTTCAGCTGTTTGTCAAACTGTGCATATGCTTCAGCTCTTTGTCGAAGACTGCATATGCTTCAGCTGTTTGGCAAAGACTGCATATGTTACAGATGTTTGTTAAAGACTGCATATGCTGGAGATGTTTGTCAAAGACTATATGCTACAGATGTTTGTCAAAGACTGCGTATGCTACAAATGTTTGTCAATGTCAATGTCAATGTCAATCGCTGCATATACTGCAGCAGTTTGTCAATAGCTGTGCATGTTTCAGCTGTTTGTCACGCAATGAATATTCTTCAGCTGTTCGTCAAACGCTCAATGTGCTTCATCTGTGTGTTAAAAGCAGCATGCTCTTAAGACATTCGCCAGCTGCCGCACGCGCCGCAGCTGTTCCTCAATCCAACTGTCGCGCCCCAGCAGCGCTCACCTGGCGCGGGCAGCGGCTACGCGCACGACGGCTTGGTGTGCACGGGCAGCAGGTCATAGCTGAGCGGCGGGCCCACCCCGCCCGGCAGCAGCCGCTGCACCGTCAGCTGCACGGTGTACGCGCCCCCGGGCCGCAGCTGCGTCAGCGCCTGCGTGCTCACCGCCCCGCCGCCCGCCCCACGCCCCGCGCCCGGCTCGCCGCTCGCAGACGCCGACCTGCACACACATTCATTCACACTTGACACTAGGAAACATAGATAGATTGGTTCATATACATACAGTAGAACCCCCGTGATCCGAACTTATTGGGGGAGTGGTCTGTTCGGTTTCGGAACTGTTCGGATAATCCGCATATATGCACCGTACATATACAAACGTACGATATATATATATATATATATATATATACCGTACACATACAGCTATAGGATGACTAGACACTGCAACGTAGCGTGTGATGTGAGAAAAATGCAATGTAGTGAAGCGAACGCATCACCACATCGCACCATCAAGCAGATTCAGTTCCTCACGGCAAAAGAAGATTTTGCATGTTTCTCTAAGTGAAAATTACTGCTACGTAAACATGTGATAGACATCGTAGTTACCAGTGCAATAAATGTTTCGACAGCTTGTATTGCAATCATTAGTTGTTCAGTTCTACAGTAATTATAAAATTATTTCCTTACACTACAAAAAAGCGTTTTATTTACTTTGTTAATTTTTCTTCCATACCGAAATTGGTTCGGATTATCCAAAATTTCAGATTTATTACCGAGATTCTACTGTAAATTAACTACTAACTGCACAAAGGAAAATAGTCCAATTTTACATTTATCTTTTTATTGAAGGGGAGGGTTGTGAGTATAATACATTGTGTATTTCAGAAAGAAAACTTGGCTACTGAATAGCAGTGCCTTCAAATGCAAAAATACATCATAAAGAGTAAATTTTCTTCAAATTGTTTTAAACAGTTTTTGATTTCTCCTATAAAATGAGGAAACGCAGACTAGTTTCCTTTCTGCAGTGAGCGATTCAAATAAATATAATATTTAGTCTGCGTACGTAGGTAGATGAACAAAAAAGTAATTTGGGTCGATGGATAGATACATAGGTAAATAGTTAAGTTGGAAAATAGATAGGCAATAGATAGGTGAATAGGTAGAAAGGTAAAGAGATCAGTAGATAGATAGATAACTAGATAGAACTATACAGATATTTCAGTAGATACAGATAGGCAGATATATACAAATAGAGGCACATAGAGATAGGTATATATATATATATATATATATATATATATATATATATATATATATATATATAGATAGATAGATAGATAGATAGATAGATAGATAGGTAGATACATTGGCAGATATCTAGAGAGACAAATGGCCAGGAGTCTCGGAATAAAAGTTAAAATCTTCTCCGGTCTAAGTTGAAAGATAATACATTTTTGCTAACGACTTTTTGATTGGAAATCTCACACAACGAAGTTACATATTTGATATTTACCCGTGTTTGGCAGGAAAAACATTTGTACAAGTGGTTTGCAGGTACATGAAATCTCTTTCAGTGCATCAGCACATGTACCTATTCAAGATGAACGAAAGATGAGTTGCCTACTAACCAGGAGCAAATTTCACATGTGTGACATCCGATACTTGAGATTTACCATCACTTGCTTATCTCCAAAACGAGTTTGTCTTCAAAGTTCCTACGTCTATAATGCCGTAGAAATTCATATCGTTAATCCAGAGACATCTTCTAATTTCTAAATATATTAAAATACCGATTTGACATCTAGGTACGGGGTGGATGAGAATGATCAAATTGACTTTGAAAAGATGTGATTTTCTGTCATGTGAATCAGTTTATCGTCTTAAACTATTTACAAATGAACAGGTTTATCTAAAACATAATGCGTGGCACAAAATATATAATAACGCATGTATAATAAGGAACTCTGAACCAGATCATTTGCAGAATTTGTAAACTCTACGGACTCTGCAAAGAACTGTCTTACCAATATTATTCTTACATTCTTGAAGGGTGTTAGAAAGTAAGACTATCTAGAAATCCGTGCAAATTATTCGTATAGAATGTTCTGATATCTCACAAATTACGCAAAATCCCCCAAAAATAGCTGAAATATGCCAGTATTAGCATATTTACCTTGTCACCGTTGTCAGCTTCAACAATTTCTTAGGAATACAATTCCTGCAATGCAATTATAGCCAACTTTTACTAAATTACAACGTCGACTATTATATTTATGAGAAACTACCTAACTAGGTGTACTGGTACACTTAATTGAGTATTTTGTAGAATTGTTGAAAGAACGGCTGACAAGATATTCCTAAAATAATATTAAAATGTATGATAATTATGGATATTCAGAAACATGAATATCTACTTGTTCGATAGTAACACTTAAGGCAACAGCCAACTTAAAACTTTGCCGGGCGGGGGTGGTGTACGAGGTTTTATTGATTGATTGATGATTCTGAGGGCGTCAGATGCTAGGATTATTAGTCTTGTAAGAGCATGTTTTTATCGCGAGAAATTGATGTGATCTTCCCCCTTGGCTGGGAAATCCGGCGCCATCCTACGACGTTTTCCCCATCCAGGTATCTCCCACCAGCCGGGACAAGCTGTAAGCTCCCGTCTGGGCCCGCGACATATGTGGTAGTGTACTAAGTAAGTAATGGGTGAGGATAGGACGAGGAAAAGGAAGGAAATATGGCGTACAGTCCGTGACCTCTTTGCTAGGTTGCGTCTCCGGCATTCGCCTGGTTAAACGGAGAAATCAAGCAAACCTGCCGATCAGATCAGCCGACAGCCAGAATTCTCCTCGTATCAGTGACTGAATTCGACTTGCGTCGAATGTCAAAAAATCCAGCCACAGTCCGTATTCGAACCCTAGGAACTTCTGGTTAGAGACTGCAGTGACATCATTTGATGCACTCAGGCACATCAGCCTGTAGAGGAGAGGGGCAAACTATTCCTTGCACTCAGCCATTCTGCTCACAACGTCATGCTCATAGCCCAACGAGTTAGAATATACTACATACGGTGGCTGACCCTATGGTTAGGGCGCTCCTGGTGGACGCCCGCAGAACTAGCCGCCGCCATTTTTTTGCAGTCAAAACATGAGAGGTGCTTGATGGTGTCGGGTACATCTGTTGTACTTATTCAATGTGTTGCTTCTATTAGATCTTCGTTTGGATTTCTATTTGATATTTTAGATTTCTATATCGTTGTCTTGTTTACCTGTATTATATTTGTGGTTAGAAAAATAAAATTCACAATACCTTCAGTATGTGCGGCCTATAACTGTTCAAATAGAAGCCAACAAGCTACAAATACATAATTTTTTCAAATTTACCGCCATATTTATTAACTGTTTGTTTGCTTTTTATTGCAATAAAGGCACATTCTCAATGCAAACATAAACATAAGCATGGCGTTATAATAAAAGTTAGGACTACGTCCACAAGCGGACACATTCACAATGCGTTCGCATAAGTACAATACGTAAGACGTAAACGTAAAAGCTTGCAAGTTTGAAGCTTCTGTGCTTATGCTTACGTAAGACATAAGAAATGAACCAATAACAGAACGGTAACTCTAAATCGAGAATCAAAATAGGAGCGAAGTCGATAGAAGAACTAACGCCACTTGGGCCATGGACAGAGTCGATACCTCGAAATCGATTCTCACATCCATCCCATAGAAAAATCAGAATGTCTCACAGCCAATAGAAACTCTTATATTGCTTATGTTTATGTTAGACATTGTGAATACTTCAGTCTCTCACTTATTTTAATGTTTATGTCTATGCGCTATGCTTATGTTTACGTTTGCATTGTGAATGGATCTTAACATTCACTTTTAGGCGTTATGTTAAGTACAATAACATTTCATTCTTATGACAATAAGCGATGCAGGAAGCAACGCGTTTTTAAAGTTTCTCAATTTGTCCTCCTTATATATTGTGATATAGTTTTTAATAATTTGTTTTTGGTTGTGAAACGCAGAGTAAGACAATTTATATAACCCCCTCAGCCACCTGGCCTCAACCAGCGCCAAACGGAATACTAGAATACTCAGTTTCTCCAGAGTGTGCTGCTTTGACTGCAAAAAACATGGCTTCAATTTGCTACAAAGATGGGCGGCGCTTCAGCCACTCCGTGTCGTATACTCTGGCTCGTTGGCGCAGCCTTGTCCTGCGGGCGGAAGGGCGTGCCCCTCACCTGGCGTGAATCGCGCGCGCGGGCCGCGTGGCCAGACGCGAGGCGACGAACCGAGGCGGTGCCCGAGAATAGAGCGCGCGTTTCTTTTTTCGTTTGGTTGAACAAGATCTGAAACCAAATGGAGCATTGCTTGAAAAAAAGAAAATGAGCTGCAAACTTTCACGTTCCTCATAAAACACAGGTGTCTCGAAATTAATGTTACAAACTTCTCGGGCGTGTGGTGGGCTCGAAACTGATCACTTTTGGCCAACGAACGTAAAGTGAGATCCATCACACAATGGAGTTATGTACATTGATACATGTGGCGTTTTCTCGTGATTGTTAGGCAACCCCGTATGTACAATGTTCACCAGGTACATTAAATCACTTTGACAGTGTCAGAACATGACCTGCCAAACATGGTGCACAAGCTGTTGCCTATAGATGAAAGAAAATGTTTCATGCGAAACTCCATTATATGAAATGTCTCAGTAGACGTTCATTAACAAAACGGATACATTATTGACATGTCCTAGAAGTTTGTAGCAGTTATTCTTGGACACACTGTATAGTATTGTTAATTCAAATATACTTTCAGTGTTAAAAATGAAGGTTTCAGTGAGTCTCTCGGCATGGACACCTCTCCCCAATATAGCCCCTTCCTGATTCGGTTATTAACGAATCAGGCACGTTACAACGAAACAGGGACTTTAACGAATAGAACATTAATGAAACTCTAGTATAATGGCTGGCCGCTGGCTATTTCATTGGCGCCTGCAAGAATTCAAAGCGCGATGGGATTGGGAGCGCATGGCCAATCGCGCGTGTTATTCAGTTAAAACAACCAGATGTAAGTAAACTAAACCCTGTTTTCCCTCTGAGGGGCTAGCTTCAATCTAGCGTAGAGGAGGTTAAAGGCAGGATAGGGTGGAGAATAAGTGATGGAGCAATCCGATGAAATTGATGTTAACAGGGCAAACGGGAGTACCCCTAGAA